AGTCGTGTTAGTTATTATACCTCAAATGAATATCAATATACAGATCATCGTTGTCCCTTAGTCTATTAACTAGCTCTTTTCCAAGCTCCTCAATCTCAGGTATGTATCGAAGAGCCTCATAAACGCACAATCCAAAACCAAAATATAAACCAATGTCAATGCCAATAAATGGGTTCAAAAACCACAAAAACGGTAACATACTTATTTTACATCCGATGAAAAAATAGATTCACTGTTTTCTGAAAAATTCATAGAAGAAATCAACATAATATGGAAATACGTAAAAAAAATTGATTTTTTCTACAGGAAAAAAGTGACTAAAACAGCAAGTTAGATGAAAAAATATAACAAGTCAGCATTTTGTTTTTATTTTATTTTTTCATGTAAGCAAATTAGATGGGTTACTTGTTAGAAACTTGCTAAAAATGCTAGATAAAAAATAATTGGGAGTATAATAGTCTAGATGGACCATATTTAAATTCATTATGCTAGATGAACAATCAATGTTAGTACATGAGCCTATTTAACTCTTCTATCTTTGATATATTATCAAATAATGTATTTTTTGTACATTAAAAATTTACGTTGTATTCAGGGAAAGTATTATATCTTGGCTATCTAGATTCTCCAATTTTTTTTTTAAATGTTATAAAAGAAAAATAGAAAGTGAGAGAGCGGCACCGAAGCCCCCGTTGAGGCGTTGACGGCTTTGTCCAAGTGTCGTTGGTTTCTGAGCGCCACCCTAATTCTTGAATTTCCAACACCAAGACCATGGGCTGCGCTTCCCCTCCCTTTTCGCTCCACCGTTATCCTACATCGCCAAATCCCACCTCCGCCGCCGCCGCCGCCGCTGCCGCAACTTTCTTTCCCGCCAATTTGAACCATTTCCACTGGCCGCGAAAACCGTTTCTTCCTATATCTTCTGTTCAATCAGTATTCCGGTCGTTTCCCTCGTCCCTCTCAAGCCGCAGTCCCACTCTTCTCCGACCTTTCGCCGCCTCCGCCAACCACAATGGTGGCAATAACAACAACGGCGGAGGTAGAAATGGAGGCGGCGGCGGCGGTGATTGGTGGGATGATTTCTTCAATTTTGACAAGAAGCATTTCTTTCTGCTCCCTTTTTCTTGTATGTTCACAAATGAAAATAATATTTTTGCGTCTGTCACCTCGTGTAAGCCGCTACTCCTATTACTCGTTTCTGTCTCGTCTTCCGTCACCTGCGGCTTCCTATTAGCTTCATTAGTACAGGCGAAGACTAATGGTGAAGAGAATGATACAGAGGTTTTGTATGAAATTCGAGGAGGAAAGCGGATTGAGCTCGTAGCAGATCACTTCAAAGATAAATTTATTGTTCCAAGAACAGTGGGCTCCAATTCAAACCCGTCCTCTTTCAGGGACTTCACCGTTGATTTGTGGATGCAATATAGGAACTTAGCCATGAATTTGATGTTGCCAGAGGGGTTTCCCGAGAGTGTTACTAGTGATTACTTGGAATACTCTCTTTGGAGAGCTGTTCAAGGTGTTGCCGCCCAAATAGCGGCGTTCTGGCCACTCAGGCTTTGCTTTATGCTGTTGGATTGGGGAAAGGGGCCATTCCTACTGCTGCGGCTGTGAATTGGGTGCTCAAGGATGGAATTGGATATCTTAGCAAGATTTTGTTGTCAAACTATGGCAGACATTTTGATGTCCATCCAAAAGGTTGGAGGCTATTTGCTGACCTCTTAGAGAATGCTGCTTTTGGACTGGAGATAATGACTCCAGCATTTCCCCATCTGTTTGTACATATTGGTGCGGTTGCTGGAGCAGGGAGATCAGCTGCTGCATTAATACAGGCTGCTACGAGGAGCTGTTTTTATGCTGGCTTTGCTGCTCAAGGAATTTTGCTAAGGGTGAAGCACAGGGTATGGTGAGCAAGGGCATTGGAATTATGCTCGGAATAGCACTTGCCAACTACACAAGTTCTTCTACGCCTCTTGCTCTTGCTTCTTTTGGCGTGATAACTTGGATTCACATGTTCTGTAATCTCAAATCATATCAGTCCATTCAGCTAAGGACTTTAAATCCTTACCGCGCAAGTTTAGTTTTTAGTGAATACCTGCTTAGTGGCTTAGTTCCTTCTGTTAAGGAGGTGAACAATGAGGAGCCACTTTTTCCTGTCTTTCCGGCTTTATGTTTGAAGCCAGCATGTGAGGCACAAGCAGAGGATCTTTCCCAAGAAGCCAAGAAGGCAGCTGCTCATATTGTGGATGGGTTACAACTGGGTTCTAGACCTTGTTAAACGTAGGGAAGATGCACTTGCACTGCTTGACCTCTACAAAAACGAAGGTTATATACTCGCAGAACATGAAGGCAGATTCTAAAGAGAACTCCTCACCACAAGACATGCTGAAGTCGTTGTTTCATGTTAACTATCTCTACTGGTTGGAGAGAAATGCGGGAATTCTATCAAGTGGTGTGCGCAGTGATTGTAGACCGGAGGGGAGACTCTAAATGTCTTTAGAATATGTTGAGAGGGAATTCTGCCACGTCAAGAATGATAGTGAAATAGTAGGTTGGATGGCTGATAGTCTCATTGCAAGACCTTTACCGAATAGAATCCGTCCTGGTTATCCAATTGCTTCTCCTGTCATGGCCGGCTGATTGATTTGCAACACTTAGCGTTAAACCTTGTACGGAGTACTTGTTAAGCTGTTGGCTATGGCACAAGAGGATGTGGTTTAAGTTGGATGATGGTGAACTCCAGTTTCAAGATAACACGGCAAATTATGCCCTGGACCGTGTCCACAGTGAATTGTGGACACGGGTCCAAAACGACGTCGTTTTTAAAAAAAAAAAAAAACGCGTCATTTAGTTAAAAAAAAAAAAAAAAAAATCGCGCGCGTCTTGCCGTTAACGGCGTTATTTTTTTTTTTGGATTATGAATGTACAGTTATGCCGTTATGAATATACAGTTATACAATTATGAAATTATGAACACAGAGCTCTAACATTATGAACTTACAATTATGAACATATATAGTGATAAAATTATGACCATGGAGCTTTAAAATTGTGAATATAGAGCTTCGAAGATTATGAATGTACAGTTATGGAGTTATGAATCTACAGTTATGAGATTATGAATCTACAGTTATGGAATTATGAATGTACAGTTATTGATCGAATTATGAACAAAGAGCTCTAACATTATGAACTTACAATTATGAACATATAGTGATAAAATTATGAACATAGAGCTCTAAAATTGTGAACATAGAGCTTCGAAAATTATGAATGTACAATTATAGAGTTATGAATGTACAGTTATGGAGTTATGAATGTACAGTTATGGAGTTATGAATGTACAGTTATAGAGTTATGAATGTACAATTATAGAGTTATGGACGTACAGTTATTAATAATATAGTAATAAAATTATGAACATATACTCCTATAACAAAGCGGTCTGAAATTTAAAAAAAAAAAAAAAAAAAAAAAAAAAAAAAAAAAAAAAAAAAAAGATGGAGATAACAGTGCCTAACGGCACTGTTACCCGTGTCCAGCATGCTTGCTGGACACGAGTCCAACGCATAACGACTAAGATAACACTGATTTGGCTGAATCCTCAATTGATTTTTTTTAAACCAAACCAAAATCGAACTGAATTAAAATGTTAAAACGAATGGTTTCAAATTTTCTTTTAAACCGAACAAGTAAAAATAATAAATAAAAATAAAAGAATCGAATCAAATACCAAAACACCCACCCCTATAATAAAAATCTAAACCAATAAATCCAAAAATATGATAGGGCTAGCCCAATTAACATTTCTAGGCAAATTATGCCCTGGACCCGTGTCCACATTGAATTGTGGACACGGGCCCAAAACGACGTCGTTTTAAAAAAAAAAAACGCGTCATTTAGTTAAAAAAAAAAAAATCGCGCACGTTTTGCCGTTAACGGCGTTATTTTTTTTTTGATTATGAATGTACAGTTATGCCGTTATGAATATACAGTTATACAATTATGAAATTATGAACACAGAGCTCTAACATTATGAACTTACAATTATGAACATATATAATGATAAAATTATGACCATGGAGCTTTAAAATTGTGAATATAGAGCTTCGAAGATTATGAATGTACAGTTATGGAGTTATGAATGTACAGTTATAGAGTTATGAATCTACAGTTATGGAGTTATGAATCTACAGTTATGAGATTATGAATCTACAGTATGGAATTATGAATGTACAGTTATTGATCGAATTATGAACAAAGAGCTCTAACATTATGAACTTACAATTATGAACATATAGTGATAAAATTATGAACATAGAGCTCTAAAATTGTGAACATAGAGCTTCGAAAATTATGAATGTACAATTATGGAGTTATGAATGTACAGTTATGGAGTTATGAATGTACAGTTATGGAGTTATGAATGTACAGTTATAGAGTTATGAACGTACAGTTATGGAGTTATGAATGTATAGTTATTAACATATAGTAATAAAATTATGAACATATACTCTTACAATGAAGCGGTCTGAAATTAAAAAAGAAAAAAAAAAAAAAAAAACTGTTACCCGTGTCCAGCAAGCATGCTGGACACGGGTCCAACGCATAACGATTGACATTTCTATGTGTGGATGGAGTGGTATTAATTCAAGAAATGACTAATTTTGTGTGGGATGCCCTTAGGGTTGGAGTCTAGTTTTTTTTTTTTTGTTTTTTTTTTTGGAAGAAATGACTAATTTTACATGTATTCTCAATTCTTATTGTCATTTCTTATTCGGTATGATTTGACATGTTTTAATTGCTCAATTTAATAGGGAGCTATGACATTTATCCATTCTTTTTTTTCTCCTTCTAATTAAATTTAAACACAAATGAAAATAAAAGTTGGGAGTACATTTTTAGAAATCCACGAATTATTTTTCTTTAAAAAATATCAAATGCCAATTAGTCAATTACCCTATCACACATGATTACAAATTTACAATTATTCAACTTCAATTCACTATTCGTACACCTAATACCCGTCTACGCGTACTCTGAATAGTCAACACGCTTTCTCTTTGATCACACGCCACTTCAAATTAAACCATTTCACTTCATGACAACTATGGATTGCGTAATCGCTCTTCCATTGCTCCTCAGCCTCTTCATCACATCTAGCTACGCCATCAACTTTGAAATTCTAAACAACTGCCCCTTCACCGTATGGGCGGCAACAAGGCCCGTCGGCGGCGGCCAACCGCTCGACCACGGCGGAATTTGGAACATCAACATGCCACTCGGCACGACGCGAGGACGAATATGGGGCCGCACAAATTGCGAATTTGATGGAAGCGGGGAAGGTACATGTCAGACAGGTGATTGCGGTGGGACGATGACGTGCACTATGGGTGGAAAACCGCCATACACCATGGCCGAGTTCACCATAGACCAAGCCAACAATATGGACTTCTTCGATATCTCGCTCGTTGATGGATTCAACATTCCCATGAGTTTCACCCCCACCAACGCCACTGACAAGTGCCAATCTATCTCATGCACAGCTGATATCGTCGGCCAATGCCCCGCCGCTCTCAGGGATCCCGGAGGATGTAACAACCCTTGCACCACCTTTGGAACGCAGGAATATTGCTGCACCAATGGACCATGTGGTCCTACAGATTATTCAAGGTTTTTCAAAACCAGATGCCCTGATGCTTATAGTTACCCTCTGGATGATGCCACCAGCACTTCCTCTTGCAATGGAGGAACCACTGATTACAGTATTGTCTTCTGCCCATGAATTAATCAAGGAGTTCTACTATACAAACTCCCTAATTCTACTCTTTTACTTGTACTCCCTGAGGTGGCAAACAAGAATTGGTTAACTTTTATCATGTGGGTCCACAGGAAAGTGTCTACATCAAGCACATGTGAGAGGGAGTAAAAATTGGAAGTACAAAATGGGAGTACACTAAGTATTTTCCTTAATCAAGTAGAGATTTTGCGGGAAGGCGATAGGGATAAAAATGAGTAAGAGATTAAGTAAATAGATGTGTTAAAATTCTATACCTTAATGTTTCTAATTTTTTAATTCCTATTTCAGTGTTTTTTATTTCGTGGGCTATTTGGTTTAATTGTTGGGTCACTTCTTTTATTTCTGTTTCTATCTTTATAATTGTGTTGTTGGCATCTTTTACTTCTGAAGTAATTTCATGTTTCATTTTATGATATTTTTCTTGAAAATTATTGTGAATTTCTTTAAGAATTTCATAAGTCCTTTTTATTTCTACTAAAGCTTCTTTGTTTACTTGTATTCCTTTATCAAGTACTTTAATAATTCTTCCAGTTGTGAATTTATCCTTACTACTCATAATTTTAATCTGGGTATTCGAAATTTTTAAATCTTTGTAAGTTTTTAAATTTTTCTGTAAGACTTGTAAATATTTCTCTTCTTTTTTCTACTGCTCTCTTTTCAAGTTCTAATATCTTTTTATCTATTCTATCTATATTATTTATAGATTGTTTGCATTTATCATAGTGGTAATTTTTTCCCATGGGATTTTCACATGTTATATATTTGACTCTATGATAATTACCTATTTTATACCAATCCCTTTGTTCTTGTCTTAACTTATTTTTATTATTAATAAATTTATCCCACTGTTTGAAATTTTCAGAATTATTACTAGTTGAAGCTTCTTTGTTATATTCCATTTTAATATTTTCCAAGATCTTTTAAACCTTAAAAAAGGTGGATAAGTGATTATTTTTATTTAATACTTTCAAGAAATTTATAAGGCAAACAATATGAACAAACATTATGTTACAAGCAGAAGTAATCTTCATCATAGAGATCATTTTTCATTGAATTAAAAATTGTATAACCTCCCATCAATTTCTAAACAACATACCCCTTCAGATATTACTCTTAAAAAATTATCAAACAATGTTAGCTTAACTCATACCTTGTGCAGACTTATCAGGTCACCGGATACTCAACCCTTCCTGCCCTTCTGTTCCCTTTACTGTTCACACAATACCACGGGAGATAGGCTAGAAGCTGGGAGTCCTCAACAGATCTTCCTAATATTTTTACACAATATATGGAGTGTGGCTAACAGATGTTTAATAATTTTTCTAGAGCTTTTCTCTTCTTTGGGTAATATGTTTATACTTTTGATAGTTGGTTATAGAAGAAAGAAAGTTTAGAAAGCCATGAAAAGAAACAAGGATTTTCTGAAGAAAAGAACTCAACTGATGACTTATCTGATCTCCAACTTTTCTGATACTTTTATTAAACAAAGAGGCTCCTTATATAGAAAACCTCGGTAGGAAACTTACAAATATTTTACAACTCCTAAGTGATAACTCTTACAAGAAAAGTCTTCAAGCTAGGTACAATAACATAACTACTACATCAAGAGTTTTCAAACTAGGTACACCCTAGTACAATAATAAGATAACTACTACATGTAAATATTTCAAACTAGGTAAACACTAGTACAATAATAAGATAACTACTAAGGTGTCTTTATCTCTTTCTCCTTACATTTTGTCTTCTAGCATTTTTGTCTTCTTTCTTCTTTGCTGATAAGGCATTTCTTCCTGATCTTTATTTGATAAAATTTTGCAACTTGATTTTGGCTGATCATTTTTTCTTCTCTTGAGATTCCTTCCTTTAATACTTGCTGATATTGAGTTTCCACCAGTAATAACTTGGATAATACAGATTTAATATTTCTGATATTATTTTGCTGATACGTCCCTTGGACCAGAAAATTCTTGATAATACGCCGCTTGGGCCAGAAAACCATAATACTTTGAACGGTAATACGCCACTTGGGCCAGAGAACCATGATAATATTTTGATAATAATTTGTTAGTACGCCCGCTGCGCTGAGAGCCGTTGGCTTACTGTAGTTTTTTAGGCTACATTGGGCCAGTTGATAATAATACTTGATAATACACCCGATATTACATCAGGTAAGATAATACATCCTCAGCTCCTTCAGAAGGGATCTTCAGAGCTCGGACCTGCCTTGATATTATTTTGTTTTTTCCTCTGCTCGATGACAGTTGTATAGAACTCAATAGTAGTTGGATCATGCTGATGTTTTAAGTTTATTAATTTATTATGCATTTCTAATAGGTCAGTTGGATCACTGGTTATCATGTCAAAATTATTATAATATAAGGTTATTATTTCTTCCATTTCTCCTCCTTTAGTATGTCCTATTACACTGGTTCTTTTATGTCTTAACATATCTTCAATTCTTGATTTTAGAGTTAATATTCCCCATGCCCTTTTTTGACTCATCCATTCCTGAAAATTTTCTAAGGTGCAAGGGATTTTCATATTTAGACTAGTATTATCTCCTTCTATGGTAGTATTTCTTCTTATTTTAAATAATTGGCATATTACTATGGGTTTTCCTAAGAAGTCGGTAGATGCATCAAAAAATTGTATTCCAAATGTTCCACTTCCATATGTTTCCATCATTTTCAAAAGTGAATCCCCTATTATAGTTGGTAATTTGCTAATATTATACATTTCTTCATTTACTATTATTTTATCTATAAATCCATAAGTAAATAGTTTATATACTGCTGTAGGGTTTGCGTCTTCAGTGCATAAAAACCTAGGATATTTTGTTAACTTTCCGACTCTTAATATAGTATCATTAGACTTATATTCATAAAATTTATTTATTACATCATAAGCTTCTATTACTTGTGAGGGATACTTAATTTTGTCTATTATAGTAAAAGGGATTTTTGTAGTGGTGGATGATTCTGATTGGTTAATTAATTTTGATGAAAAGGTTTTTAAGGGTTCTAATACAGTTTTTACAGGTGAGTTAATAACAGGTTCTTCCTTATGTTCTTTTAATATTTTAATAAGTTCTCCACATTCTGCTAAAGTTTTTAAGATTTGTTCATGTTTTTCAGTGATTTCTGCTATAGCTTTCTTCATTTTTTCATTGAAACTTTTACTACTTGTCATTTTTGTACCTGCTCAAAAAATCAGCTAAAACATTTTTAGTTCCAGATATAGGTTTAATAGTGAAATCATAATAACAAAAGAAAGATTGCCAATATCTTTTTCTATTTAATTCTGGCAAAGGATCTATTTTATTCATAATAAAGGCTCTTACTTGAGTATTATCTGTTCTTACTACAAATTTTACTGGTAGTAAATGATAATGAAATCTTTTTATTCCTAATTTTACTGCTAATACCTCTTTCTCATTTATATGATAATTTTGTTCATTAGGTTTCCATGTTCCTGATCCATATCCACATATTAAAGATTATTCTTTGTCTATATCTTCTTTAGTATAAGCTACTAATACTGCTCCCCATCCTATGTCACTAGCATCTGTATATAATTCTAATTGATCATCTTTTTCTGGTAATCTTAATTTTGGTAAAGATCATACTTTTTCTTTTATTGTTTTAATAGCATTAGTATGTTCTTCTTTCCAGTCAAATATATTAGATTTTTTAATTAAACTTTGTAAGGGTTTTCTAAGTGTTGGTAAATCTTTAATATAGTCTGATGCATAATTTACTATTCCTAAGAATTGTTGTACTTCTTTTTTGTTATCTAATTTTTCTTTAAAATCTTTTATTTTTGTTACAATGTGTTCTTGTAGTTGTAATCCTTCTTCTGAAATTATATATCCTAAATATTCAATTTTATTTTTAAATATTTCAGATTTCTTTTCAGATAATAAGATTCCATGTTTTCTAACAGTTTTAATAAATTCATTCAAATGTTCTACATGATCTTTTAGAGTATTACTATATATTAAAATATCGTCTACATATACTATGCAAAATTCATTTAAATTTCTAAAAACTTGATCCATCCTTCTTTGATATATTTGTGGTGCATTTTTTAATCCAAAAGGTAATACTTTCCATTCATATTGTCTTTGAGGGGCACTAAAGGCTGTTAAAGGTTGTGCTTCTTTAGTAAGTTTTATTTGCCAAAATCCACTTTTACAGTCAAATTTACTAAACCATTTCTTACTAGCTATTCTGTTTATTAAATTTCTTTTATATGGTAAAAAATATCCATCAAATATTATTTTCTTGTTTAACTCCCTATAATCAATTACCATTCTAGCTTTTCCTCTTTTTTGCTCACTATGTTTTCTTACTAGGAAGGCTGGGCTACTGTGTGGACTAATACTTTCTTTTATTATTCCTAATTCTAATAATTCTTTTATTTGTATTTCAAATTCTTTTTGATCAGTTGGACTATATCTTATAGGTTTACTTCTTATAATATCATTTGGATTTATTAATTTTATATCAGCATATATCTTTTCTTTATCCCACAAAGTGATAGGATTTTCTCCAAAATTTATTTTTAATAATTCCAAATATTTTTGTTTTAATTGTTCTAAATTATTATTTCTGTCTATTTTAATGTTATATATTTTTAGGAAATGTATTGGTAAAATTCTTTTTAATATTACCCATTTGTTACATGGTGTTAATAGGCTTAATGTCTCGCTATTTATTACTTGTGTTTTGAAAAAGTCTAAAAAATTATTTCCTAATAATAAAGGGTGTTTCATATTATTTTCTTGGTATACTATTGGTATTTTAAATATTAATTTATCTAATATAATTTTTACATCTTCAGCTATTACATCTAACTCTTTATTATGTTCATTAAATCCTGAGACTTTTATTCTATGTCTGTTTGATTTTTTCCATCGGTATGGTGCTATTACTTCTTTTTTAGCTAAACATATATCTGCTCCGCTATCTATAAATATTTTTTGTATTGCCATCTTATTAGGTTTATATTCTACATAGGTTTCTATATAAACTGCTACCATATTTTATCCTTATATAATAAATGATAATAATAAATTTCTATAATTTTATCTTTTAAATCTTCTTCTAATATTTCTTCTAACAAATTTTCTACTCTTTTTAAAGTTATCATTTGTTCTATGAAGTTTCTTTCAATATTTTTTATGAATTTTATCTGCATTAATACTAACCATCCTTTTTCCATTATTCTGAACTTTCTTCTTCACTACTTTCATTATTACTAAGTTCATTAATATTTTCTTCTTCTGGTTCTGTTTCACTAATATAAAATATTTCATATTCATACCATTGGTCATTTTCTTCTTGTATTTGCTCTAAGTTCATGATAAATTCAGTAGTATTAAGATATTTTACTCCTTTTTGTTTTAGTTTAGGGCATTTATTTGCATAATGTCCTTTTTCATTACAATTCCAACATCTACATTGGTAAGGTTTTTTATTTTCTCCTTCTAATGGTCTCATATTCTTTATTCTTTTTCTAAATTTTCTCTTATTTCTAAATCTTCTCCTATTTTCAGGGGTATTTCTATATTTTCTAAATTTTTTCCTTTTATATCTCTTATAATATGGTTTATAATATGACTTGTAGTAAGATTCATTGTTTCTGTTTTTCCTATATTTCTTATATTTTTTAGAGTATTTTCTTTTCCTTCTTTTATCTTTATAGTCTTTGTCACATCCAAATATTAGTCTTTTCTCTGTAAATCCACATATTTCTCTTAATCCTTTTCTCTTATCTTTTTTAATCTTTTGTTGTATTCTATATTCTTCACATTTTCTCATCAAATATGATCTTAATACTCTAATTCTTTCTCCTAAAGTATTTTCTTTTGGTTCATATTGACTATATTCTTTAGTTATTTCGGTATTATATGGTGTTGGTAGATGATCGTAGTAAAGTTGTTGATATGTTATTCCTTCATCTTGAGAAAATCTTGCTTCATAAAAGAATTTACTAAAAGTTATAGTATATTCTGGTAATTTACTAATTTTACAACATTTCATATTGTTCAAATTCATTATTATTTCTGTTTTTCTTTCTGCTATTACTTTTTCTTGTGATACAAACCATCTTTCTCCTAAAAATTCTCTTTTTAATACTATGTCAAATATTGACAACATGGATTTTCAATCTGTAGCGTAATTAGGTGCTTGTGCTCTAAATTGAACAGTTATAGTTTCAAACCAAAATCCTATTTTCCTATTAAAGTTTTTGATATTAAATCATACACATAGTCTATATTTGAGGTACAGTTTGAGTTCATTAGTGCTATAAACATTCCTAAGTTCCAATCGTGTATTCTTCTATTAATTTCTTGTTCATCGTATACATTATCTAAATCTAGAAAGTATCCATTTAAATTTACTCCTTGACTCATAGATCCTACGAAGTCTTTGAATTCAGATTGTTGTCCTATTGGTATGTGGTTTGGTAGACTTGTTTTTCTTCTACTAATTATTTCTAAGTTTGGATCTACTATTTCTTCTTCAGGATAGTCATTAGCATCTTCATTTATTATGTCTTCTGTTACAGCTTCTGTTTCTATATCATTATTTCTTTCAAATTCTTCTTCTATATCGCTTGTTGGTTCTTCTTCTATTATTGCATTTACTGATTTCATTTTTCTTAATACTTCTATAATTTGATCATTTTCTTTAACTATTTCAAAATCTTCTTCTTCTTCATCTACTAAACCTTCTATATATCCTACTATTTTTAAATCTTTTTTATTATTTTCTATTTCTTTTCTACTATCATCACTACAAGTGTCTATGCTACTTGTATCACTTATCTTATTTTTTCCTTTCAATTTTTTCATAGAATTTTGTAACGCTTCTATTTCTATTTTTAAATTATCCATCTCTTGTTTCATTTGTTTTAATTCTAGTTTAGTCTCTTTTAATTCTTTTTTGGTATCATAATAACTATGTTTGTATTTTTTATAGAGTAAATTTCAATTTTGGTCCTGTGACTATAGGGGTCCTGTTAATTGCAGTCCACGACTTTCAAAAGTGTTAATTTAGTACATTGACTATGTAATTTTTATTAATTTTGGTCACTCTGGCCAAATTTTGCCGGAAAAACTTAATTCATCAATTAGTGTTTAATATGAGGGGCAAATTCGTTTTTTGAACTGTGGTCCGAATAAAACAAAGTCAGTTTTTAACCCATTTTTTCGGTAAAATTTGACCGGCAATTTAGCTAGAATGACCAAAATTGATAAAAATTTACATACTCAAGGTACTAAATTAATACTTCTGAATGTCGTGAACTGCAACTAACAGGACCCCTATAATCACGGGACAAAAATTGAAATTTACTCTTTTTTATATTTCTCTATCCATTCTTTATTAGAATTATTTATTAACTTAATATTTTCCCTTTTTAATTCTTCTATAAATTCTGTATATTCTGGTTTTTCTATAAATACTTCGTTTTTTTCTTTTTGATTTTTTGTTTTTTCTTCTCTTTTAAATTCTTGTTTTATTGGTTCATACTTATATCTTTCTTTATCTAATATTTCTTTTCCATATTTTTTAAGAAATGTTTCTATACTATTTTCTTCTGTCATTTTAAAATTTTCCTTTCTTACTGAGTAAGGCCAATTTTTCTATTGTTTGTTTTACGGGTTCTGTTAATTGTGGTTTCATCTTACTAATATCTATCGTAATTGGTTCTTTACTTCTTCTCCAAGCATCTATAGGTACTATTTCTGGTTTTTCTTCTAATGGTATAAGGTCTATAGTTTCTTTATTTACTCCTGAACTTTCTATCCTTTCTTCTATTTTTTGTTTATCTCCATTGTCTAATACATCTAATTTTTCTAATATCATTTTAAAGGTTGGTACTTCTGATGTATTCCATAATTTAGTTAATTCTTCTTTTACAATTTCTTGTATGTTTAATTCTTGTATTCTTATTTGATGTTCTTTAATTTCAGTTAATATTTTTACTATGTTTTGTAGTTGCTCTTTTATTACTATTTCATTCCATATTTGATCTATTTTTTCAGTTAAATCCATTCTATTTATATACTCTTTTTCTCCATCCTCCTTCAAGTATTATCCATTCTTTTCTTGGTTCATTCCTTTTTTCTTTTAATACTTTAATTTCATTTTCTATTCTTAGCTTTTCTTCTAGTAGTGTTCTTATTTGTGTATCCTTTTGTCTAATTTCTTCTTCTTTTATTGTTAGTCTATTAGTTAAACTATTTATTTCTTCTGAAGCTTTTATGATTTGAGTATCTTTTTGTAATATTTCTTCTTCTCGTTGTTTTATTATTTCTAAACTTATTCTACAACTTATAATATGTTGATTAATATCTCTATTATATTCTAATGGTTTAGCCGCTATATATTCTATTGCTTCCATTTTTTAACAAATATAATACTTATTTTGTTCATATAATCTATTTATATATGCTTCTATAGTATTAATTCCATTAATTGTATCATTTAATTCTAATTTTATTAATAACCATTCTTGTATGTTTTCTTCTTTGGTATTATTTAATAATTCTTCATATATTCTTAATTTTGTATAATATTGTTTCAACATTATTCGTTGTTTTCTTAATTCTTCGCTGTAAATATGCATAATATCACTTATCTCTTTATGGCTTTGATACCAATTTGTTGGAGTACACTAAGTATTTTTCTTAATCAAGTAGAGATTTTATTGTGGAGGTATTAATATAATGCCTCATGATGTTAATTAAGAATAAAGATTTCATATTCTTCATTTATACATTCACATGTACAAGGAATTTCTTTTAATTAATTGTATTTGTTAGTTTAGTTACAGTTATATCATCACAAACTTAATTAGCTTAAGCTTGTGTTTTTTCGTCTCCAACTATGCTCGTTATTGCTTCTTTAATTAGTTTAATTTGTAAATTTAACTTACATCTGTGATTTAATTTGGTTGACAAAATTAAAGAAATAAGGATTGCATTTCAATATATATATATATATATATATATATATATATATATATATATATATATATATAGAAGAGCGCTCATATGCGGCGGGGTCTTACGGTGCGGCGGTGCAGTCAAATTCCAAAATACACCAACAGTGTTAACAATATGCACCAACAGTGTAATAAAAACACACCCCAATGAAATGTAATAAAACATCACAAAATACACCACAGACTCAAAAAAACACACCATATAACTCACCACCCCAATGGTGTATTTCCGAACAGTGTATGGTGTTTTTACTCACACCTAATGGTGTGTGTTTGGTGATGCAGGGCTCTGTTTACTCTGTTTTGTGTGGTGTATTTCCTAAAGTTGATGGTGCATATTTGGTGAACTATTGGTGTTGCCGCACCGTAAGAAATAATCGCACTGTAAGACACTGTCGCACCTGAACCCGCCTCTATATATATATATATATATATATATATATATATATATATATGATCATTGCTGCAGGCTTGCTGCATAACAAGTACTCCGTATTAATTACGCTTCATCTGCGACCTTGCAGAAGGATTACAGTTCTTTAATTGACGATTAATTAATATCTAACACTAATAACATGAACAAATTCAAAAGTTCAAATACCATTGAAAAACGTACAAAAAAGATTCGAAATTAAATGATGTATTAATTGGTAGTAAAATTCTTTACGCTTTGCTTTGAAGAGCGCTGCATTATGTTGACTATTGAGATTTGAGGCTAGATATTTCCAAAAGGTAGGCATGAGTTGTGGACCGTACAACAATCATTATTCTGTCAATCATGGTCTACACATCTGTGTAGACCATAAATAAAAAAGTAAAATATTTGTTTACATAAAATATATTATTTAAAAATATATATTATCAAATAATATATTTTTAGTATATTAAAAAATTATCTTAACTCTGTTTAGCATAGCTTATTTAAGAGCTTATAATTTATTTTAAGCTACTAATAAGCTATTCTGTTTGTTAATGTTCCCAAAATAAGCTTCTAGCATTTCGAACTAAGATACTAGCTTCCTAACTTTTTTTTTTTTTTTCATATTTATCCTTATTATTTTAAAGAAATGACATACTTTATCATTCTCAATTAAAACTCTTTTCTCTTCTCAACTTTCACCGCACGACAATCCCTTCATCTTCATTCGCACTCTGTTCTCTTCATCTTCATCCACACTCCATCGTCCATCAGCCATTGCACTCCGTAGAGATGTTGGTGAATGTACGATTTCAACGTTCCGGTGAAACAATAAGTAGAGCATTTCATGAGGTTTTGGAAGCAATTAGTGGTAGGAATAGCGGATACAAAGGCCTTGCATGTGATATCATAAGATCATATGATCCTACATTTCAATCTATACCGTCTTACATTACTAATGACGCACGATACATGCCAATAGTTTTATTTCAAAATGTTAATATTTTTTTTAAGACAAAATGTTAAATTTTAATATGTAAACAAACTACTTTAAATATTTTGAAGATGTCTTTTTTAGTCTTTTTACATTTATCAGCTTATCAAAAAGCTAATTTTACCAAACACTTTCAATCATAACATCTAGCTTAACAACTCTTTAATTTTCAGCTCTTAGCTTATAGCTTTTCAGCTAGGTTTGTGAAATAGAGCCCTTGTATTCAAAAAATATATATTATTTGATTATTGAAAATATATTATTCTGAATAATGTACATTTAGTGCACAAATAATATATACTTTTAATGTATTAAAAATATACTTCTTTTATGGTTCACATAAAAATTTGCCACTGTACTGGCTCAAGGCTTGGACTGAGAAGATGCATCAACAGCATTGGAGTAGATTGCGCTAGGCCCAGTGGTGTGCTCACCAGTTGTTATATCGTGGACCGCGTTGCATGTGCACCGCGGTCAAAATGACATAACATCTTCATTCTATTCATCATATATATTAGATAATCAATCTTAAATAATAATAATAATAATAATAATAATAATAATAATAATAATAATAATAATAATAATAACAATAATAATGGATAAAGGTGCGGATAAATGATTTGTTATTTCTTTAAAATGTTTAATAATAATAATAAAGGATTTGTCGTGAAAGTTGCATATAAAGGAGAAGTAACGAGTTTTAATTGGGAAGAGTAAAAGATGTTATTTCTTTAAAATAATAAGGATAAAAATGAAAAAAAAAAAGTTATGAAGCTACTAGCTATCTTATTTTGAACAGCGTTTCAAAATAAGCTCTTACTTTATGCTATGAATTTATTTTGAGAGCATTACCAAACAAGCTAATAGCTTATTAGTAGCTTAAAATAAGCTATAAGCTCCTAAATAAATTATGTTAAACAGATACATTTGGTTAATTTGAAAATATTGAAGAAATCAAATTAGAAGTTACGGAATTTGATAATCAAAAATAAAAGTGTTACTATATATAGGCAAAGATAAACGTCAAGAGTAAAATTGATTTGATATTTTTTCATGCATTCACACATATATAATGGACTAGTTGCGGGCACGCGCTTTGCGCGAAACGCCATGCCCAATAGTCAATTATGTATTCTAATTTTTAATTAATGATAATATATATAAATATTAATAATTGTTATGTGAAAAATTAAATGTATATATAAATACATTATATAGATAGCAACATGATATAATTATAATTTCAAACATTACCATGACAAATTAAACATTAATAATACATCATTAATAATAAAATATTTTATATAATATATAGATTATTTGTAGCATTACGACAAAGTTAAACATTACTAACACATAATTCATTAATTCAATGATCGAACTTGTTTTTGGTGGACGTTAATAGACAATTCATTAGTAGCAGATGTTTTAAAAATTTCATATTCTAAATGAGGGTACAAAGAGTTTGTTTAAGAGACATATTTATGAGAATAACATAAAAATTAATTTTGACACAAAGAAAATAGAAGAATATACAATACATAAACATGTTATTTCACCTATCATTAAATATTTTAAAATCATAATGTTGATCATTATAATTTGCTGCCCTACTAGTAAGAAAAAAAATAGTTATTTGTAATAATCATAGTATCAAAGCAATAAAACTTTCACATTAACATGTGAGATAGATATTGTAGTCATTCAAAATATTACATTTTGATAAGTTTTTAAAAATATTTGTGTAATTTCAATTCAAAGTCTATTAGTGAAAGGACTTTGAACCAGAATTACAAAGCATCAAATTAAGTACAAACCATTTTTTTTTTCAAAGAAAAAAATGGAATATTTGATGCTGTCAAAAGTGCAAAAATATGATAGATATTTGGCCATTGTTTGCCATACAGCTAAAGTTCAAAATAGATATATGTTAAGTCAGAGAATTATCCAAGCTTGAGCAACTTGGATTTTTCATTAGTAATGTCATCTTCTAAATCTGCAAAAGCATTTGAAGGCTGATTTGAAATTGAGTATTCATCAGTGTCATCATATATCAATTTTCTCTTGAGCCTTTTAGTAGTGGTGATTGACTTTTCTTCCAGTAGAGATATAACAGAATACTTGATTTGCTCACTTCCCCTAAAATTTTGTTTTCTGCATAGGAGTTCTACTTTGAAAGTTTTCTTGCTCAACTTCTCTTTAATATTTTGTAGATCAACAGTCTCATTCTACAAGAAGAAAGAGAACACAATAATCAAATATAAATATAGTCAATCTATTAACACACTCAATATCATTATTATGACTAAAAAGCTAACCTTCTTGTCCATGTCTACCAATTCGATGGCAGAAAGTGAAAGTAACTCCTCTATAATGTTTCCAAAGAGTGCAGACTCAAGTGAATCATTGGTTTCGGTAAGTTCAATGCTCATCATACACCTGAAGTATATATATTCCAAAGAGTGCAGACTCAAGTAAGTCATTGGTTTCGGTAAGTTCAATGCTCATCATAAACCAGAGGTTTATATATATATATATATATATATATATATATATATATTATTGCAATTACAAAGGGATGTAATGAATTAAAAAAACAGAAAATTTACCTTGGTTTTGCAATTGCTTTTGAGTTTCCACAATGTGAACACTCAAATTCATCACCCAAACTATGTGCAGTTCCTTTCCAACAACCATCACATGCAATGTAATAGAAGTTCTTCACCTTTGTTGGAATTTTTATACTTGCATAGATGCAATATCTCTTCCCCTTAAAAAGAGAAATGATAAATTTAATAACCAAATAAAAATATGGTTATATTATAGTATAAGTTGGAAAATTTATTTAAAAGCATAAATATAAAGAAAAATAGTTAACCTCGATACTTGAACTCTTAACATTTGAAATGGTGACAAATGGTTCCTTTGACAAATCAGCAAGCTTTAGATATGCATCATTGAATGCATTGGTCAAAATAAGTGAATGCAACGTGACAGAATTTGATAATGCCCTGTTTATTGAATAGATAGCTCAACTCAATATTATGTGGAATAAGGATGCAATCTTTATTTTAAAGAAAAAGAATATAGTACCATTGACCAAGTTGTTCTGCTTTAGGTGTTGCAATATCAAAGTCAATTATAGAACCATATCGGGTTGTCAAGGAGAGACCTGAAAAGAGTACTTCAAATTAGTTTTCAAAAATGACTAAGTGTAAAAATAACTTTCAAAATGAAATAGAATATTGTATACACACCATTGTAGTTTGTCACCTCAATCTTCTTTGCGAAAATTACAGGAAACTTGCCTGCTGCAAGTTTTTTCTCTAACTCTATTCCTTCTCCTTTTGCATATTTTCCCCAAAGAGTAAAAATCACTGGTTTCGCCCTGACCATGACCATTAACCAAAACTAATTATATGTATGAATTTCATATGCAGTATCAATTAAACCATCAATTATGAATTGTTAGTAATTAAAAGTAGTAAAATATAACAAAAACTCATTGTTCATCCACCAACACGATATCTGCAGCATCAATTTTTCTATTTTTCGAATCAATATGCTTCCTTGGCAGCTTGTGTATAACAACAGCCATAACACCTAAATTTTATTCAAAGTACGTAATAGTTAAAATAAAATGAGAGTTCTGCAATTGCATTATGAAGAATAAAGTTTGTTACAAAAACGTGTCAAACATACTGATTTTTTGCTCTGTATTAATGTACTTGTGAAAATGAGAAAATGAAATCTCATCTATTTTTGGTTCTTGCATAACTTGGAGTCCATCATCATCAGGAACAACAGCTACAGTACATTTTCTATTTAAAGTCCAGAGGTAGTTGTATCTTTCATCCGGAAGCACAAGCTTTCCTCTAGGAATTGATACAATTGCATCCGTGATAATGTATGTTGCATTCAAACTTAACTTATTATCAAAGATGTCAATTTCATTTGCATACGTCATTGCCTGAACTTTGTAGCCCTTAAAAGAACGTACAACAATTTTTTTTTAAAAAAACAATAGACTCAACACATGTAGTTTGCAACATAATAGTCATACTATATACAAAATAAACAAATTAAATGTAATAGAATTACTCACTGCTTCATCTTGAAGAATAATTGGTCTGTACTTATTACCCGGCGTGGTTTCGGAGTCTTGGGCATCCAATTTGTTTACAACACATACCTTACAAGACCAATCTTGTTCTCCAGGAGATACATCAGATATCAACAATCTTCTCACCATTCTGGTAATACATACATAAGAATTTATTAATTGTTAGCCATTATTTAAAATAAGATATTAAAGAAAGAAAAAAGCATAAAACAAATATTGGAGAGTACGTACTAACACAACAAAAAAAATAAATCATGTAGTTCATATATAGGGAAACTCATTTGTGTGAACTTGTATCAATCCCGGTTTGAATGCACTGTAAAATTTCAGGATACACAATGTTATCTGTTATATTAGTGGTCTGATTTTCATCATCTTCACTGTGTATTATTAGCTTAACAGAATCTGACTTTCTTGCTCGAGACATGGCAACATACAATTGTCCATGAGAGAAGACTGGTTCTCTTAAGTATATTCCAACAAAATCCAAAGTTTGACCTTGAGCTTTATTTATTGTCATGGCAAAACAAACTCTTATAGGAAACTGATGTCTCTTGAAAGGAATGGGACAACTGTCATCTTTTGAAATCTGCAATGGTATCCGTGGTATAAACACATGATTTCCTTTATGTTCTCCTATTGCAATGTAACAACTGATGACAAAATCTCTTAACTCCTCACAAATTAGCCTAGTACCATTGCACAATCCTTCAGATGGATTCAAATTTCTCAACAATATTATTGGACAATTTTTCTTGAGTATTAGCTTATGTGGAGGCATGCCAGATGGTGAAAGAGTATGCAAATAATCTTCACAATGCAGATATTTTGTTGAATCAAGGGGCTCATCATAACTCACATAACACCTACTTACACCAGGAAATTTATCAATTAATGTGGAATTTATATCATCAACAAATTCATTCTTTGAAGTTAGAAGTGCTCTAGTCATCAATGAATATGGATCATTGAAAAAGTTGTTCTGGGTAGACTGCTTTAAACAAAACATCAAGTGAAGATTGTTGTTGTTGACACTGTAGGAGGAAAGAATGTGGAATTTTAATCTTGTTATCAACCAGAGTCGGCTCAGTTCCATTTCCAATGCGCATCAAATAATCTGAAAATCCTGGGTCTGATCTGGCTCGCATGTTTTCATCTAATCTCAAATGTTGAATTTTTGGCCATATTGATGGTGATTTTACCAAACTTGCTTCAATGAAGTCTTCTCTCTTCCCACCCCTAATAACTGGCAATGTCTGACGAAAGTCACCTCCAAAAACTACAACCTTTCCTCCGAAAGTGTCATCTGAATTCATTAGATCTCGGAGTGTTACTTCAAGGCTCTCAACACACCTACGATTGGCCATGGAAGCTTCATCCCACAAAATCAACTTGCTATGTCTTAGCAATTCAGCCTCTGCACTCTGTTTGCTAACATTACACACATATCTATTATCCCCATCAATAGGAATCTTAAATCTAGAATGAGCCGTTCTACCACCCGGTAAAATTGAAGCTGCAATACCTGAACTCGCTGTGGCAAGTGCAATCCATCCATGTGACCGAACCTTTGCCAATAAACATCTATAAAGAAAAGTTTTTCCTGTTCCACCAGGGCCATCAAGAAAAAAGACTCCACCAAAATCTGAATGTACCGCAGTCATAATTTTATCAAAAGCCAATCGTTGCATGTTGTTTAATTTGTCAATACAATGCAAGTCATGATCGTTGACTCCCAAGTTTCTTTCTGCCTCAATTTCTTTATATTGTCTTTGAGAATCAGAGAGATAAATATCAGGATCAACTAAGTTAAAGTCAGTAATTTTTCTGCCATTTTTTTCTAGTAAGTTCTTCACAAGTTGAAGTGCCTTGATTTCAGCTGCAGACTCAGTATATTTAGCTGAGTGAATAAAATCTTGACAAAAGAATTCCTTATATTTATTCCAAAACCTTACTGGATCAGGTAAATCACAGAAGACTAATAGAGTTGCAAATAACTGTCTCAAACTTGTTGGCATTTGACACAAAATAGCTTCCTCAATACTACTCTCTATGCTAGAATCACTGGATAACAATCCCAATTTTTCAGCAGCCTCTCTAAAGGTCTCTACCCTTTGTCCTTTTATTATTTTCAAACTGCAAAATGAAGTTGGAGCCCTTACATTCATTAGCAATAATCTTAAATAATAACGCTCACCTTCTGATGGCATAACTGATACAAGTCTTCCAATTACCTCTCTTTGTTTTCTTTGATGCCAACGTTTATCATTCAATGACCAAACAAAGAATTCTGGAAACTCAAGATATAATAGGTTAAGTTGTTTTGCAAGTTCATCTACTTTGTTCATGTAGAAAAATTGAGTCAACATTGTGCGAGACCGGTAATCTTGTTCTCCATTCTTTTCATCAACAATGCTAACCGACTTCTCATATTTATTGAATTTGATATACTGATAGTTTGGTAAATGAACTTGCAAATGCACAACAGAAAGTTTCATTTCAGCAAGATTAAAGCTAAAAATCCGCCATGCTGCCTCAGGCGGTGACACCCATCTTGCATTCTGAAATTCTTTAATTTCATCATATTCATCAACAACATTATTCCCACACAATCGAATGCTAACTCTATCATGTCCTTTATAGATATACTTATAAATATATTTAACACACTTAATTCCAGCACATATTTCAAGGTTAACATGGCAATCAAACTTCTCCAACAAATATCGGTTATAAGGAACAACCCACCGGTTATCCAACTCATGTCCCCTAACAAAAACAGTTTTAATAGTAGGTCTCCTACGATATATTGGGTAGGAATCATCACCTAACACTGTTTAATTAGAAAATGATTTAGGGTATTTACTTTTACAACACTTGTTCTTCCCTTTTCTTTTTTGGATCATGCAAGAAAATGTAGGATTTAAAGACCCACATGGACCATGAATCATATGCCTTGCAACTAAACTATGCAAATAAGGATCAACTCTTTTATCTGGTATTTCAGCACTGACAATCTTATCACACTGATTTGGTGAAGTAATTTTATGGCTCCCACGTAGAATCAGTAAAAAATGAGCATGAGGAAGGCCTCTCTTTTGAAACTCAATCACATATGTGTAGGCTGCAACTTCACCAAAGATTTTTTTTTTCAAAATATCATCTTTCATTTCTTCAAACCGTGCGCGAAAAACTCTAGCAAGAAGATCAGGTCTATTTTGTGCCTCATCATTATAGTATAATAACTCTTTAATCTCAGGCCAATTTGGATTGCATGTCATTGTTAAAAAAAGGTCGGGCTTTCCAAATCGTTGAACAAGTGACATAGCATCCATGTATCTCCTCTTCATATCACGTGGTCTACCAATAAAAGACACTGGCAATATGATTCTACGACCCACATCATCACCTATAGTTGCCCCAACACAAACACTATCCACTAATCCTTGATATGTCTCAATTCTAGATTGATCTTGTTGTGTCCTATAATAATCAAGTCTTTCATTTTCAATTTTAATATATATGTCAACAATAAATTGTTGCAAAAGTCTTCCAGTATGTAACAACAAAGAGTGATCATTTGGACGCACTTGAAACTTGTAGGCATAAGACTCTCTACAAGAAACATACCTCTTCTTTTTTCCCTCACTCACAATTGACTCTTCAACTGCAATTAGTTCTTCCACAGATGAGACAATTGTAGGGTCAATAATGCATGATTGATGTTGTTTCCTTACTTTATTACAGCTAAGGTCAAAATTTCTTTCTATTCCTTCATGCCAACCAGTTTGACCAAATGGAAACAAAAGAGGGTATTGTAACGGGTCGTAACAACCATAATAGTACTGAACACTATGGGAACACCCACTACATGCATACACCTTAATGCTTCTGTTAGCTGGAACCCTATCAGAATCATTCTCTAGCCATATTGCAGCAACCTGTGAAGCTGTTGGCAAATTATAAACTCTCTGATCTAATGATGTGGTTGAGTTCAAACTTATAACAAAGTCATCCCCAAAGTTGACATCCTTGAGACTTCTAAAGAACTGAGCATATGGGTTTTGGGACATAAGTTCAACCAGATCACTAACTATGCTTCTATCAAGTCGATCAACGTACCCAACTCTATTATCTACTTCTGTCTCAGTGTCAAAGAAATAGAGTTGCAAATTACGGGGTGAATGACCATGGGGTATAAGATCATCTATTAGATGATACATTTGTCCTTGAACTCTGAAGGTATATATTCCTTTGTTACGTCTACACAAATCTTTGTCATGATTGTGTATACCAAGAGACGTAAATGCAAATGTGTTATTATAAGTTCTAACATAGTTTCTAAAATGCTTTGAAGCATCATCACGCCCAATGAATAAGTTTTTCAATACACAAGGCATTGCATTAGAAACAAGCTTGATTTGACCACCACGACAACAAAATCCAGGTGGTTCATACTGAATCCGTTTTGCACCACAACATGTGCAATCACTAACGACAGACAATTTAAAAGGGTGATTTTCAAAATCATTTACTCTTACTTCAAATGTCAAAGTTCCAATCACCAATTTGTTACATTTAATCACAATGTAAATTATGTCAATGTAGATTCACATATTCATTTATCATTCCAAAAGGGGAAATAAAAAAGAAAAAAAAATAATTAGTAAAAATTCAATTGATGATGACATATAATTTGATTAACCAAGAAAATAAAAGCATAAAAAGATGATGATGATATTAAACCTGATCTAATAGGAACACTACAATGTGATTTGGTTTGAGAAGTCTTCTTTTCTTTTTCAACCGCTAAAGTATTAGCAGCTAACCTACGACGTAGGTTTCTACGTTCCTGCTTAGACATATTATCAAAACATCTCTTTTGAACATTTCCACACTGTTGACCTTCATCAACACGCTCTGTGTCACTAATATGGCTCATTGCTAATGCACTATGCACCAAAAATACGATTTAAAGGAAATCACATAAAAATTAGCAAAAACACACATAAAAAGCAATAAAAAAAAAACCCATTATGAACCAAATAAAATATACCTTATAAGCTTTTCTTTAAAGCAAATAGTTTTTTCGAAACCTGAAAATTGAAGAAGAATAAAATATTAGTCATGTGTGCACGGGCATATTTCAAAACAACATCAAGAATCTAAGGCAATCAAAAGTCATATGGTATATGAACTCCAAACTGGGCATGGTAAAATTAAAATTTAATAGTTGAGACCATCTATCTGACAAAATGAGCCAACAGTTCTTTTATATGTATAATTGAGACAATATTCCTGTTCAACATAAATTACATAATCCTACAATCACATCCGGATTTGGGATTTACTGACACAGTGCTAATGCCTAACAGTTTATGTTCCTTCACCCCCAACCTACAATGACATCCATGCAGCACTTCTTATGTATAAGATGCATAAAAGAGTGCAACATTGGACCTGTGGAATTGAACTTATATGCAAATTTATAATTTTTATGGTGGGGGTGGTGAGAGAAGTGTGGAAAACCAGATTCATAGGACAAGTGTAAAACAATCTAATGTAAAAAAAAAAATACTTAAATACAAAGTTGGAGATTTTATATATATATATATATATATATATATATATATATATATATATATATATATATATATATATATATATATATATTAGATTTGTTGTTATATTACATGCATTTGAATGTATAATTAAAGCAGAATGTTGTTCACAAAAAAAAAAAAAAAAACAGAATGTTTATATATCTTGTGAGTCAAAAAGGAAGTACTCGTGATCATGGCTCACTTACTACCACTCAATGTTAAGTGACTAAGGAAGGGAGAAACAAACAACATTTCTCCATTTTTTTTTAATGAACAATAATGGAGAAGATACAGTAAGATCATTTTCAACTTTTCATTTTTATTTGTTGATCTTTGGTTTCATTCCATACTCAGAATGCCTATCCTTTCTTTAAGGCACAAAACAAAAGCATAAATCATTCAAGACAATCATAAATCACACACTAACATATGTCAATAATTATAAACATGAGAGTTGACATAAACAAACAATTATTTTAGAATTTTCTATTTTATTTTTTCAGAATAAATACATTTTTTAATTATATTACAAGCATTATGTGAACCTGTGATACACAACATACATACAAAAATCATTCAAAGATCATTTCTTCATTTTTTTAATGAACATTAATGATGGAAAAAATTCAGTAAGATCATTTTAAAATTTTTCGTACATACCATAGCAATAGTAAAAACAAAAACCAACAACTACTTTGTAGATTTAGATATACATTAATTATCACAAAGAGGTGTAAAACATAAACGGAAATGAGAAGAGAATTAAAAAAAAAAAAAAAAAAAACACATGAGTGGTCAACAATGGTAGATTGAATGGTGTAGCAGCCCAACCATAGAAGGTTTAGCCAACAAAGTGCATGTAATGGAGAAGAGTAATATTAAAAAAAAAATAGTTTGATGTTCCGTATAAACTATTAATTTTTATTTATTTATTACCTCTGCAAACAACAATATCACTCAATGCTAAGAAATAAGGACAAAGAAACAAACATCATTATTTCTCCATTTTTTAAATAAACAATAATGAAAAAATGCAGTAACATCATTTTCAATTTTTCCATACATACCATAGTAATAGTAAAAAAAAAAAAAAAAACACCAACAACTACTTTATAGATTCAGATGTACATTGATTATCACAAAGAAGGTGTCAAACATGAGCAAAGATGAGAACAGAATTAAAAAAAAAAAAAAAAAAAAAAAAAAAAACATGGGTGGTCAACAATGGCAGATTCAAAGAGTGGGTTAAATCTTTGCATGTATCTGTAAAATTCACATTGAACACATTATAGAATTATCAATATGTAAGGAATCAATGTGCAGAAATCTCCAAATTCAAATGGAACAATTTTACATGCATAACCCATATTCAACAACCACAAGCATATCAAAAAGCTCAGACAACTAAGAAAATAGAGGAAACTAAATGAGAATGGATTAAAAATTACCAAGAAGAAAGAAAGACACTTACCTCTATCCGAACTGGAGAAACCGAAACCAATTTCCTGGCATGCAAGCTAAACACACCAATTTCGTAGTTTTGAGACTTCTAAAGAAGAAGAAGAAGATCAGAGAATCAAAACTTATATAATCACTTATTTTATACAAATAAATTTGAAGACAAAAAAAAAAAAAAAAAAAAAAATAGAACTTACAGTTTGGTAGAACTCACAGCAATCAGAAATGATGCAACTGAAAACACTCCTTTGCATATATTGGTGCGGTAGAAGCTTTTGAGGAGGGTAATTAAACAGACCATTGTATAATTCACTCATCTCTGTGCCCATGCCTGTAAAATACATGGGAATTCAAACTAATCAATAGACAATTGGTTAATTTGCCGGACAATGGGATGAGCTAATCCAAAAGCTACTAAAATTCGGAGTTACCCGGACAAAAATGTTATTACCCAGAGGATAATGTAATTGAGAAGGAAACATCTGACAAATGTGTATTTTCCGTACACATTGATAGCAAGCATGTCGTAATCTCTCTTTCCTTTTGCTTATCTCCATCTATACCTGGTTGGTTTAACTAAGGAATGAAGATGATGGAAAAACACAGAGTAGAGAAGAAAGAGAGAGGCACATGGGTTTAGAAATTAGAAAGAGAGAAATGGGTTGATGAAATTGCTCTGAAGAAACTAAGGGTGTGTTTGGAAACCTGGAAAATGAGTTCTGGAAATCATTTTCCAAGTTTCCATTGTTTGGATGTGCCTGGAAAATCAAGTCAACGGAAATCATTTTCCGTTGACTTTGGAAAATAGGCTCATTTTGGAGGAAAATGACTTCCCTTTTTTTTTGAGGGGAAGTCATTTTCCAACTTTTACACCAACTGAGACCACCACCAACATCATCAACAACATACCACCGCAACCACTACCACCACCAACACCATCAACACCATACCACCACCACCACCACCACCACCACCGCAACCATTGTCGCCGCCACCACCACCGCCACCACTATACCATCGCAACCACTGTCGCCGCCACCACCACCACCATCACACCACCACTACCACCACTACCACTACCACCACCACCCCCGCCACCACCACCATACCATCGCCGCCGCCACCGTTGCCGCCACCACCACCACCGCCACCGCCACCGCCACCATACCACCGCAACCACCGCTACCACCACACCACCACCATACCACCGCTACCACCACACCACCACCATCACACTGCCGCCGCCGCCGCTACCACCACCACGACCATATCACCGCAGCCGCCACCACCACCATACCACCGCAACCACCGTCGCCGCCACCACCACCACCACCACCACCATCACCATACCACCGCAACCACCGTCGCCGCCACCACACCACCACTGCCACTGCCGTCATACCACCACCCGTTGTTATTATTATTATTATTATTATTATTATTATTATTATTATTTATTTATTTATTTATTTATTTATTTATTTATTATTATTATTACTATTATTATTATATAACAAATAACACAACTACCACCACCACCACCATAATATTTTTGATATATTATTAGTTTTTTTTATTATATTTAAAATTATTATTATATTATTATATTATTATATATTATTATACATGTTGTAATATTCTAAATAAAATAATTAAAATGTTTAATTATACAATTCTACTCATTTTCCAGAAAATGAACCAAACACACAAAAACAGTTTTCCAGAATGCAACCAAACACTGGAAAGGAAAATGTTTTCCGGAAAATGACTCATTTTCCAGAAAACATTTTCATGCTTTCCAAACGGACCCTAAGTTAGAGAAGAAAGAAAGAAATAGTTTTAGTTGACGGAATTGCTTGGAAGAAATCAGAAAGCCAGCATGGGAAAACGTGCACCACCAGTAACTTCTGTCCTAATCTCTCTCTTTATATGGCAAACTTGTAATTTATTTGCAAGGAGAGGGCAATAGAAAATAAAAATTAATCTAAATACTATATCAAAAAATGTAAGCCATAAGATTTTAGATCAATGGCTGATAGGAGTGCCATTTTTGAGGGGTAATTGTGCAACTCCCAAATATAAGTATAGAGAGATGAGAGAAAGAAAAGTATACTGTAAACTTGATACGCAATAGATTTTATTGCAAAATTTTGATATGGACTAGAAAATTAGATCAGATCGATAATTATGAAGACTTTTTTTTTTTTTTTCTTAAATTTCTTCTATTGACTGAGAACTAGTCTCAAATGCATATATGCTTGTGCTTTCTAGATTGTATGTAGTCTGCAAGTAACGTTCAAGATCGAGTGTATCATATTATCTACTATCTACTATACTAATAAAAGTCAAAAAAAATTAGGTTTATAATGGGTAAAAAAAAATGACAGTGAAATTATTAAATCAAATGAACTATAAACTTTTTATTTTTTATTGTTCCAAAATACTAAAATTCAAAAAATGCTCAAAGTAGCAATTTCAATCAATTTTTTGAGAAATTCATTTTGCGCGTAATCATCAGTTATAAGCTAACAACTAATTTACCAAAAGCTTTTTTATAATCAGCTAATGCTATCAACTAGTCAAACTCGACAAATTATTGTGTGTACCATGACCCACTTAGTTGTGTGGACCATGAATACAAACTACATTTTTAATATACTAAAAATATATTATTTTTGTACAGAATGTACATTATTTTTTTTTGAAGGTGAATGTACATTATTTAATAGTATATAAAATAATGTACTTTCAGTACTCAAATAATGTACTTTTAGTATATTAAAAATGTACATTTTATTTAAGGTCCACACAGCTGTATGGATCATGATCCATGTAATAATGTTTGGTCAAACCCACTAACACAATCAATTAACAATTATTTACCAAACACCCAGCAGTTATACCATGCAAAATTATGTTGTGGATTCGTGTCCACAATGCATTGTGGACACGAGTTCAAAACGACGTCGTTTTTAGGGAAAATGCGGCATTCCAGTTAAAAAAAAAATTTGATTTTGCCTCGGCGTTACCGACGTTATTCGTTTGTGGAATTATGAATGTACAGTTATGGAATTATGGAATTATGAACACAGAGCTCTGACATTATGAACTTACAATTATGAACATATAGTGATAAAATTATGAACATAGAGCTCTAAAATTGTGAATATAGAGCTTCGAAAATTATGAATTTACAGTTATTGAATTATGAATGTACAGTTACGGAATTATGAATGTACAGTTATGGAATGAATGTACAATTATGTAATTATGAACACAGAGCTCTGACATTATAAACTTACAATTATGAACATATAGTCATAAAATTATGAACATAGTGCTTCGAAAATGATGAATTTACAGTTATTGAATTATGAATGTACAATTACGGAATTATGAATGTACAGTTATGGAAGTATGAATGTAGTTATGAAATTATGAACACAAAGCTCTGACATTATGAAGTTACAATTATGAACATATAGTGATAAAATTATGAACATATGCTTCTATAACGAAGCGGTTTGAAATTTAAAAAAAATAAAATTGGAAGATAACGGTGTCACTAACGGCACCGTTACCGTGTCCACAATGCATGCTGGACAAGGGTCCATAGCATAACGATTGTTATACCATGGACCTGGGCCCAAAATACACAATTTACATATTGAATGCAATCGTTATGCGTTGGACCCTTGTCCAGCATGCTTGCTGGACACGGCTCCTTTTTTTTTTTTTTTTTTTTTTTTTTTTTTTTTTTTAAATTCAGACCGCTTCATTGTAAGAGTATATGTTCATAATTTTATTACTAAATGACGCGTTTTTTTTTTTTTTTTTAAAACGACGTCGTTTTGGGCCCGTGTCCACAATTCAATGTGGACACGGGTCCAGGGCATAATTTGCCTATTGAATGTTCACAATTTGAATTGTAAGCATTTAGTATGTAAAATTGTGAACATTCAGTATATGTAAATTGTGTATTTTTGGATCCCGATCCACCTTGCAAGTTGGACCCGGGTCCACAAAACAAGGTGGCTTGTGGGTTGCTGATTGTTTATAGCGCAAATTATGCTGTGCAACCGAATGCACCTTGCAAGGTGCATACGGTTGCAAAACGGCGCCGTTTTGGTTAAAAAAAGGCGCGTCCCACTTAAAGAAGAAATCAGGTTCAATTCCCGGCAATAGCATTTTTATGCAATAGCATTTTTATGCAACAGCATTGGAGTAGATTGCGCTAGGCCCAGTGGTGTGCTCACCAGTCGTTATATCGTCGACCGCGTTGCATGTGCACCGCGGTCAAAATGACGCTGTTTCTTTAAGTAAAGAAACGGCGTGCCGTTAGTTTTAACGGAGCGCACATTTTGTATATGTTAGTTACAAACTGACACTATAGTATATCTAAACCGATAATGTCTCACGTATTATTTTTTATATTATCAAATGAAACTGCAGTTATATCAAAATAATACTGTAGTTGTGGTGAAATGAAACTGCAGTGTATATAAAATGAAACTGAATTACATTTCACATATTTGAGTGTATATTGTACATCACATATTTGAGTGTATATTGTACAATGAAGCTGTAATTATATCAAAATGATCATGTAGTTGTGTTTTAATAAAACTATAGTGTATATAAAATAAAATTAAATAACATTTCACATATTTGAGTCTATAAATATCGAATGAAACTGTAGTTGTGTTGAACCGAAATTGCAGTGTATACAAAATGAAACTGAATAACAGAGTTACTTTTTGCGGAAGGATGCGGAACGACGGAAAACATATACCGTTTCTTTTCATTAAACAAAACGACGTGGTTTTAATGCGCGGTGCATAATCGATTATGCACCGCGGTGCACGATATAATTTGGTTGTGCTCACCCTCCTCTAATCAGGGGTAAGGATGAAAATGCACGACAAATTATTGTGTGAACTCGGATCTAAAGATACACAATTTACATATTAAATGATCACAATTTACGTTTTAAAAATTCGTAATTTGTGATGACCCTATATTATATTCACAAATTGCCAAAACTTAGAAACATAATTTATATTCTAGAGGTTCATAATTCCAATACTAAAATATACAATTTAGGATCAGGGTCCATATCAACTGAAAATGCACCTAGTCGAGCTGAGCTTTAGTTTAGAAAATGATCCTAGACCTGCTGTGAAAATCTGAGACCTGAATTTAGAATTGGCATATTTTGACTTGAAGCTTTTTTAAAAACCTATATTTTTTTTTTTTGAAAGGTAAAAGTCAAATAAAATTAAGAGTTCCAAAATGGAATAAGAGGGGACTGTGTCTCAAAACAAAACGTCATCCTGCAACGAAGAACTACAAGCTCTAGCTAATGTATGGGCTATAACGTTACCCGATCTAGGAACATAAAAACTGAACAAGAAACAAAACTGTTCATCAAACTCACGCACTCTCTAGTGGTTATGCCAATATAAGATAGGATCTCAAAAGTAGCCAAAAGATTGCCACAAAGGATAGCACAATCTGGGAAAATAGCAACCGTATCTTCACTCCTGTTGTTGTTGAG